CTGTGACCACTTTTAGCTTATTAGCAACCAAAGTGTCAGGCAACAGCGTGCAGAAAGAATTCCAGTCACATGTGTCTAAAAACAATTTCCCAGTGGGCTCTTTCTGAGCTCCCTGCACTATGATCTCCGTATTGTCTGGGAGGGGTTACCTGCCCTCCTGAAAGTCAACTCCCTGATGACTTATTTAGGAGTGTCTCATAACAGAAAATGGTCAATTGGTTCATTGATAAATTAAGACACACTGGGTCTTCTAGCATGTAGACAAGACGAAAGGCCACTGGACACTTCATCTGACTGCTGCATGAGCAGCCAGTCATTCATCTCCCTATAGACCCAACTCCAGTGGCTTCTACCTCCATTCACTGGAAATCACATTGAGTCATTCCTCCTTACAAACTTTGGACAGTTCTGAGCAGTGCTGCTGGTGGATACCAGCCAACTCCTTAGCATATCCTATAGGTGCTTCACAATCTGACCCAACTCTCTTTCTAGGCTATTCTTTCGGGGCAGTCACCTCCTACCTCTTGCTGTTCCCCAAGCCCACCGTAATCTTCCCTGCCTTCTAGTCCTCCCTCCACCTGGAATGTCCTTCTTTTTTTTTTTTTTTTCCTTTTTTGTTTTTTTTCATGACCGGCAACGGATCGCAACCCTCAGTGTCGCGCCCGTACCGGACCGGGACCGGCAACGGGATCGCAACCCTCGGTGCTGCCCCCGCACCTCGCTCAGCCAGTGAGCGGCCGGTCTGTATGTGTGATCCGAACCCTCGGCGGGAGCACCGCCGCGCTCCCAAGTGGCGCACTGTAGCAGTGTGCCACCAGGCCGGCCCCTGGAATGTCCTTCTTTAACCTCGTTACCTAATGAATCCTACTCATGCTTTAAAACCCAGCTCAAACATTGCCCCTATAAAGAACTCTGCTAACCTTTTGCAGAGAGAGTTCACTGCCCAGTTCTCTCATTAGTCCTTCATTGTCGAGCTTCTCACATAGTACTTCCATTACGTTTACATCCTTCTCCCCCACAAGACAATAAGCCTCATGAGGCCATGGATGATTTTATAAACCATGAGTCTGCCCAGCATGGTATCTGATAACCAACACATCTTATTTCATAAACTGATGAAAGAAAACAGAAATAAACAAATGAATGAATGAATGATGCTGTGTATTAGTCCATTTTCTGTTGCTCATAACAGAACACCTGAAACTGGGTAATTTATAGAAAAATAAAAATTATTTCTTACAGTTTTGGAGGCTGGGAAGTCCATGGTCCGGTGGCACATTTGGTGAGAACCTTCTCCTGGGTAGGAACTCTACACAGTCCCTTGGTGACACAGGGTATCACATGATGAGGATGGCATGAGCAAGAGAGCTAACCACCTCAGTGTTATTCTTACAAAGCCATCAGAACCACACCCATGACCACCCTCTAAACCATCAGCCCATTACTCCATGAATGGATCAATCCATTCACCAGGGCACAGTCCCTGCGATCCAGTCACCTCTAAAGGCCCCAACTTCCACCCTCCTAACTCTGTTACAATGAGGATCAAGCTTCAATGAGTTGGGAGGGACATTCAATCCACTGCATGCTGTTTCTAACAAAACACACCATTTTTCTCCACCTTCCCATCCACGTGGTGTCTGGAAATTACTGTTGGTAGGTATGGGTTGGTGAGGGACTACACAGGGTAACAAAGCCATGTTTGCAAAAGGTGGGCACTTTGGGGGATGGGAGAAGGGAAGTAAGTGCCTGTGTCCAAAATAACAACTTCTCTAGAAAACATTAATCCAAAGGGATTTTTTATTTCTGTATTTCCTATTTTCACCATTCTATACTCTCACACAGGGCTGATTTCCAGTGAAATTCGATACACAATATTTTTATTTAAAAGTTCCTAATTATTTTTTAATTTATTAAATAGCTATAATCCCGGGCCTGAAAAATCCCTTATCCTGAGCTGCAGTTGCTCTTTGAAACACCACCACCAGGATTATGCCCCTGGTAATTACTGAGCAATCCATTTTCACCTACAGGCCTGGCACATGTAACAAGAATCCCTGCCTGCCTATGTATTTTCTGGCTAATTTGGTCCCTTTACATCATGTGACCTTCAGTGACCCATTTGGAATATGGGAGTCATCCTGCTAGGACTTTCTTTAGAAGATTCACAGACATGTGCTAAGTATAAGTAATATATCAATTTTTAAGTCCAGGCAGAGTGAATCCATATTATATGTCCCAGAAAAGCCTGTAATGCTGCTTTATGAAAGGAACTGGAGAGTTTCTTAATCCTCGCCATTCTCTGTAGGAAAATCCTTCACCCAAGTATATCCATTCCTATGCATTCTGTAGCAGGACATATACGGAGTCAGAAAAAGACACTACCCCACCCACAACCAGGCACACAGCCAGTGCCTCGGGGCCCACCCAGGATCCTGAGGCATAGAGCCAGGGACCAGACACCCCCCACAACCAGACACACCACCAGCATCAAGGAGCATGCCAAAAACATCACTTCCATGTGGGTGGCCCACCACAGCCACCACAATAACCACAGCTGCCGCAAAAGTGGCTAGACACCACAACCACCACGTAGATGGTCCACCAGCCACTGGAGTGTATTGACACAGGAGAGTCATCAGCAGAGACCAAAGAAAAGAAGAGGATGTCTCTCTCCACAAAGCCCATTCCAAAGTGACAGGGGAAGCATCTGCTCTATAATAATATTGGGTGACCTGAACACACCTCTCAGCATTGGACAGATCATCTAGGCAACAAATCAACAGAGTAACCATTACTCTTTCAGAGGGAGAGAAGAAATCTAGGGTTATCAGTGGTAGGAGGGAGAGAGGGATGGGGAGAGATTGGACAAGGGGCATAAAGAGTAAGTACCTATATTTATACTAGTAATATTGATTTGATCAACATATCTCAACATTGAACCCAAAAATATGTATAATCAATTATGATTCAATAAAATTTAAAATAAATAAATAGATAGATAGATAGATAAATAAATCTTCTCCAAAGAAAAAAAGAAAGAAAAAGACACTAAAAACTTGCAGAAGCTGTTTAGCTCATATTTATTAACATCTTAATACAGGACAGAGAACAATCTTCCCCCAAACCCTGGCAGGTTTTTATATTGGTTCTGCAAATGTAGAGCCTGAAGCATAGAGATGTTGATAATTTGCCCAAGATCACATGGCTCATGGATACCAGAGTGAGCTTTTGAAGTCAGTTCTGCCTAGCTCTGGAGCCTGAGGATGTATCCACTCCCCTGGGCTGACTCTTCATTGTGTGCTCCCCTGACTTTTCTTGTTCAAGAAGAATTTTTCCAACATGTAAAATTCCTAAGTAGCTCTCATAAGATCTTACTCCTTTTGGCATTTTACACTATACTCATACAATCTTCTCTGTTAAAAGATAATAATTATTTTTGAAAAAATGGTTCAAATATTCATCATATTCACACAAGTCTTTTCTGAAATTTTTTAAGTAAAAGAAAAAGGCCCATAGGCGAAAGAAGATTTTTAGATTTTGACCCACATTTTTAGATTTTAGTATAAATGTCTCCTGTGGGTGCAAAGTGACACCTCTTGTTACTGGAAACAGACAGGAACATTTTGTGTACCACTGTTCACAGCCAGACATATGTTTCATAAGGGAGCTCATCTGATCCTCAAACATTTAGTAAGCATGCTGTCTATATGAAACAGTATTGGAGAAAAAAGACATGGTCCCTGCTCTGCAGGAGCTTACTGCCCAGCAGCTCACTCCTAGCAGGAATTTACAGACCTCAGACAGACCATAACATTAGGTCCACCAAAGCCCATAAAAGGCAAGAAGTTCAGGAGAGAAAGAAATCATAACCACCTTCGAAAAATCTCAACGTGTTTTATTGGAAAAGGCTCTCAAAGGTCTCAAAGGCCAATTTCTTACCTCCAGCTTCTTTCATTAGTGCTTATTGACCAGTACCGGGAGGACCGAGCCAAGGGTAAAGCTAGGGTGGAAGTGGCCATAAGTAATTGCAAAGGACAAGAGCTAAAGAAACATGTGAGTTCCCCCTAAACACCCAATAACTCGACTGAAAATGGATTGATTTGTATTTCCAAAGGATATTAAAACAGGCAACATGTGAATATACTGAAACAAATTTAAGGTCAAGCAACACAAAGTGCTAGGCAGTGAGCTTTCCTTCCCGCCTCAGAGGCAGCCTCTCTTACCTGGTTTTTGAGCTCCTTCCAAAGCGAGTTTTGTTTATAACGCCCTCAACTTATGGGTAGCTCAGGCCACCTAACCCATCCAGAAGGCCTAAGAAAAGTAGGCTAACTGCTCCAGGCCTCAGCTCAGGGGCCAGCACATTCCACCTGCTGTGTGCATGGGGCCAGAGCTGGGAGGACCGGGACCAGACCCTCCACACTCCCAGTTCAGCTCACTACTTTCTAGGCACCGCCCACCTTTTAGGGATAAGTGAAGTACGTAATGGACGTAGGAGGCAGATAGGGAAGACATTCTCGAAAATTCTAAGGAGGTGTTAAGCGCTCCCAAGGCAGGCCAGCCCAGCCCTTTTGGAGCTTCTTTGCCGGAGCCCAGGGCGGGGCCTCGGTGATGCGGAGAGAAGCTTTTACACGTTCGTCTTTCTAACACCGCTCTCCGGGCATCTCTGAGAAGCAGCCAGCTGTTGTTTATCCTCCAGGGCAGCAAATCCGGTTACTTAGCTCCCTATTCCGTGATATTATAAAGTAAGGAATGGTCCATTAAACTAAGTTTGGACGTGTGACTCCCCACAGCCACCTCCCCGCCGGCATCCTCGACCGGGGAGGCTGTCGGCGTGGGCTGCAGCCCTCCAGCCTGATGTCCCCTCCCTCCGCCACCTCCCCGTCTTCCCTCCCTCTCCCGCACCCCCTCCCCCGCTTATTTGGGAGATTAGAGTTCATTAATTAAATCCTGTGCTTAGATCGAACTGTAACATTATTCCAATCACATTTATCTTGCAGGCGGCGGCGGAGATGGCAGCCTCGCTGGAAACGCGCGGGGGAGCCTGAGCCGGCGGCCGCGGACGCACCGCGCTGCGCGCTCCATCTCCGCGCCGCCGCGCAGACCCTCCATCTTCCTGCTCAGCGCCCCGGCCCCGCTCGCCCCTGCCTGGGGGGGTCCCGCTGCCCTCCGGGGCTCCTGCCCGGCCCTCCGCGGCTTGCCTGCCCGGGCCCCCCTCCCCCGCCACACACGCTCACACGCGCGCGCGAGCACACACACACACAGACACACACACACAGACACGCACACACACTGACACGCCAGCGAGCTGCTGGCCGCTCAATGGACCGATTTCCCCGGGTTCCCTGATCCCAGCCCAGCCCGGGATGAGAAATTGCAAAATGGCCCGGGTCGCCAGTGTGCTGGGGCTGGTCATGCTCAGCGTCGCCCTGCTGATTTTATCGCTCATCAGCTACGTGTCCCTGAAAAAGGAGAACATCTTCACCACTCCCAAGTACGCCAGCCCAGGGGCGCCCCGAATGTACATGTTCCACGCGGGATTCCGGTGAGTGCGGCCTCTATTTGAGCGCCCTGGGGTACCTGGTTGATGGTATGTTGGGGGCGGGGGTTGATGGGGGGGCGTTTTGGCTTCTCCGAGACACTTTGAGCAAGATAACTGCGTGGTCTTTCCACTCCTCTCTCTGATTCTCCCTACCCCCTCCCCTTTATTTTTTAACCCAAAGCCCCTAAAAGCCGTTGTGCTAATCGATGCGATATCATTTCTCGTATTCTTCCTCGGCACCCCTCCCCCCATTCTTGAGATGGGGGGAGGGTTTAAGGAGGGTGAGGGAGGACGGAGAGGCAGTGTGTGTGTTTGGGAGGGGCGTTGAGCGGGGAGATGGACGGGCGTGAGGTGAGCGCCCTCCCCGCGCCCTGTCCGCAGACTCGGCGGACGAGGCTCCGGGCGGTGCGGACGATCCGATGGCGCAGGCGCCGGACTCTCCTCGCGCCCTCCCCCTTCCCCCACTCCACCCCCCATCGAGTGATGCGCGGGTTTAGACTCACGAAGCCCCTGAGGCGTTCTCCCTCGACCCACTCCCCGCTGTCACCCCCTCCCCTTCCGGGATTTCTGCAATTCCCCCGCCCCTGCGGGAAGCGCGCCTCCTAAGGGCCGCCTCCCCTCGCCCAGGTCGAAGTCGCCGCCGCGCGCGGGGCCGGACTGGGAAGGCGCCAGGCGCAGCTCATCGAGAACCCCCGCCCCTACCTGTGACCCCAGGAGCTCTCGCAGCAGGGCCTCGTGACGGGCAGGTGGCAAATACGAACTGTGGTCCAGACCGGCCCGAGGTGCTGAACCTAGAGAAGCCCCATCTAGGCAGGAGAGCGGAGCTGGCGGGCGGCCTCCGGGGGTCCCCAGTCAAGGGATAGGAAGTGAAATCGGACATAGGCTCGGGAAGGAAGAGGTTAAGGCAGGAGTCACCCCCAGCCTTCCCTGGGTCTCCGGTTTCCTCTGCCCTTTCTCCCAAAACCCATTCTCTCGTGCTCGCGGCGGCGCGGCCGCTGTCCGCTGTCCGCGGTGCTGACTCCGCGTCCTCGGCGCGCCCCGGGCTCGGCGGTGCTCCCGGCGCCCGGCCCTGCTCGCCGCGTGACGGCCATTTTATGGTCTCTCCCGTACCCGGAGGGATGGACAATGGAGATGGGTTTCTTTCCCTAGTTTTCTTTCTTTCTCCCGGGTGTATGTGGGTGCAGAGGGTGGGCCAAATGAGAGGGGGCTCTGGGGCGGGCTGGAGCCAGCGCTTGTGCCGGCTGCCCCCCGCCCCCAGCTGGCTGGGACTTTAATGGCTACCTCGGCTTCCCCGAGCTGAGGCCAGCACGTTTGTCTGTACTCATGCTCCTCTCCAGGTCCCAATTTGCGCTGAAGTTTCTAGACCCGTCGTTTGTGCCCATTACGAATTCTCTCACCCAGGAACTCCAAGAGAAACCTTCTAAGTGGACATTTAATCGGACAGCCTTTTTACATCAAAGGTAGGATAGGAAGAAAACATCCAAAGGTGTTTTTGAATTCTGGAGCTCGAAAAACAAAACAAACAAACAAAAACTCCAAAACAACCAAAACTTACCCCCCTCCACCTTCACCATCTTCTTGGCCTGACTGCACAAAGTTATGATCAGTAACCCTCATATGTATGTGGTGCCCTCTCAAAAAGAAACATTGGGAGGAACAATTTGAATGGAGGGATAAAAGATAATTTCCAATATCCTTCCTAACTTGGGCTTGATTGAACACCATGATTTACAGTGAACAAGTCTGGCTAATCCTGCCAAAACCATCTATTTAAAAAAAAAAAAAAGTTTAAATGCAAAAAGACCACCCAATGCATTATGCGTTTTCATTCCCTCACTGAAAAGAAAATTTGAAAAAATAAAATAAAATGGTATTGTTTCATTGAAACACGCAGAAAATAGCGTAATCCATCTTCACCACGTTACTAGTGAAAACTTGACCCAAATATATGTAGATATTTAAGTACGGTTTTGTTTTGGTTTTGCCTGTTTGTTTTCATTAAACCTTCACAGCTTTTAAATTATTGTGAAGTTACCTAAATTCATTCTCATTAGCTGTAGCAGCCTCATTTTATACATGAAGGAGATTTTTGTAATTTTTTAGGTGGGGGGAATAAGGATGAGATTTGTTCAAATTTATTTATTCTTCTCAGTGATTCTGGTCTACTCTTAGCAATCCCAGATAGATCATTACACCTTCCTTCTTGGTGAGATTATTATGCTGCTAAATGGAATGTGAGCCATCTAGTGTATTCATTAGGGGGGCGAATACTTATTTTACTAACCACTCTATTTAGGAAGTTGTGCTTTGGTCGTAGCATTTCTAGTTATTGCTTTCTCTCTTTTTTAATTTTAATCTACTGGCAGAATTAAAACAAATTCAATGCATATCCGTGGTGTCATGAAAATGTTTTTTACCTGAAAAATTGACATACAGTTATATGATTATGATTAAAATTTTTAGACACTTATGTTTAATTAGAAATTTTAATCATGAAAATTGATCAATTCTAAACCCTAGAAGTGCTTTTTAAAAAAATATTTAGGGATTTTTATCCAATATTAATTTTATAGACAACGCAGAAAATTTTCATGGATAGAACATCTTTCCCCAAAACTTATTTCTGGCTCGATAAAAATATTCTTTCCACACTAAGCCATGTGACCCAAATGACTGTTGGAAGACTATTTTCTTCACAAAAGTTCCTTCCTTTTATTCCATTTAGTAGGTAACCTTTAGTTAATTTTTACTAGTTTCATTTTAGTCTTGCTTTACCTTTTTAACAGCTTGTAAGAAAAGCACTGCTAACTTTAGAAGTTTTGGATTGAAGTTTTCAGTTTATATTGTTCTATACTTTAAAGAATGAAAGTTTAAAAATAAAATGAGTTTTTAAAATAAATGAGTTTTTAAAAATAAAATTCCAAGCAAAGTTATGATATGCAAAGCATTTTGTTTTATTCCTGCTATTTTTTAGGCAAAAGACATAAGCGATTCAATGTGATTTCTTAGCATTGGAGAATCTAGTAGCAAAGTAACATGTTACTGGTCTCTCAAATATTTTAAATAGTTGAAACTTTAAGATACGTAATTTTACTTTAAAGCTCAATATGAAAGCAACATGAAATTAGTTCTACGTATCACTCTCACCTTGTTGATGCTCTGAATTGTTAGAATACACGTGTTTTCAAGATTTACAATAGCCTTGTTTTCTAAGGATTAGGTTTCTCCAACTAAATTGTGTTTCTATATAATCAACTAGAAAAATATCCCTGTTTTACTATTCAAAGGACCTTAATGAGATTATCATTTCTATTAAATATTCAACTGCACCCACTGCTATTAGCATCTTTATATTTTAATAATAGTGCTGCATTGACTTATATCTATTTGGCTTTTATTTAGACACCAGTGATATTTGATATTCCTTGAACACTGCAGTCCAATAGCAGACAAGTAGTCCCTAGTTACAAATTCTAAGACACTAATGTTTGTGCATTAATGTGAGCTCTTTGGGGCCTGTGTAAATTTTCTCCCTGTATTTTCTGACATAGTTTGTCCTCTGCCTCACCCCTGATCAAATATACTCTTTACAAACAGCAGGAAACCAAGGAGTGGCAGCTAAAACTGTAAATTGCACTTACAAGCCCCCATGGATTACATTCAGAACTTGACTGAAAGATTAGAATATGTCTGTAGATTCTGAAGCAGTTCACTCTTCAAAGACCACAATTATGAATGTATACTCTTTCTTGGATTCAACGTGCCTAAGATTCTTGTCTGAATAAAATGGCAGCATAAGACGTAAGATGGAAAATCAATTCTTTTGAATGGAATGAATTTAATGAATTTTTTTTTATTTTAGGCAAGAAATTCTTCAGCATGTCGATGTAATAAAAAATTTTTCTTTGACCAAGAATAGTGTTCGGATTGGACAACTGATGCACTATGATTATTCCAGCCATAAATATGTTTTCTCTATTAGCAATAACTTTCGATCCCTGCTTCCAGATGTGTCACCCATTATGAATAAGCATTATAATATTTGTGCTGTGGTTGGAAATAGTGGGATCCTGACAGGGAGCCAGTGTGGACAAGAAATAGATAAATCAGATTTTGTTTTCCGTTGCAATTTTGCCCCTACGGAGGCTTTCCAAAGAGATGTTGGAAGGAAAACCAACCTTACCACCTTCAACCCCAGCATCCTGGAAAAATATTACAACAATCTTTTGACCATTCAGGACCGTAACAACTTTTTCCTCAGTTTAAAAAAGCTTGATGGGGCCATTCTTTGGATTCCTGCATTTTTCTTCCACACTTCAGCAACTGTTACCAGAACATTAGTTGACTTTTTTGTTGAACACAGAGGTCAGTTAAAGGTCCAATTGGCTTGGCCGGGAAACATAATGCAACATGTCAACAGGTGTGTATATTTTATTGCATTTTACTCACACCCCACCAAGCGACAAATCAATATTGTAACCTCTTGGGGGTGGGAGCTATCCAATTAGTTAGTTGTGGTTAGTTTAGTACTTTAGAGCAAACTCTTATCTTTTGTAATGGATGAATGAATCATTCTAGGTAAGAAGTGTAATCTACCCCCAGCTGGGAACCAAGTGCAAAATGGTGGGATGGGTGTTTCATCAGTCTCCCCTCTATTCCTTGCCCCCTCCTTTGGTGGTATGCCTACCGCATAGTCATGGAAATCAACATGAACCAAAAAAATTTTTTAAATGGATAACTATATTCCAATAATGCCTATAGACAAATTAGACAGATCAAATGGTTTTTTAAAGACGATGCAATTACCTTAAAATTTTCCCTTTTATTTGATGTTAGGGTATTTTGCAGATGTCCAAGATTAGCAAGCCACCTAGATAAATCATACATTGTATAATCTGCCTTCATAGTTTGATATTTGAATGCAAAAACATGAAAAAAGATTTTGTGAGCTTGTTATAATCCCTTGTGATGTGATAGAGAGATTGACCAGAGATGCAATATTTTCATTTAGTCTGGTGATTTTCAACTCTGGCTATACATTAGAATCACTTGGCAACCTTTAAGAAATACCATTGCCTGGGATCTACCCAAAGAGATTCTAGTAAAACTTTTCTGGTGCAGAGAGAGGTGGGGACCAGGTCCTGGATATGTTTTAATAACTCCCCAGATGATTCTAATGTGCAGTCAGAATGAGAGCTGCTAATCCAGGGCACTTTATAAAGCAAGATTAATTGTAGGATTTTTTTTTCCTTTAAATCATCTGAGCAAATTATCTCAGCTCTAATTTCCCCTATGTGTCCAAACACAGCCCCAGATATTATTACAAGTTAGAATGGGTTCTGGGAGACCTGGTAAACAGGGAGTTCTAAAGATTTTTATCCCATAATAGATTATTCCATCCTGTAGTCTCCTAAAGTCTTCCAAATTTAAGATCTGTTTAGTTGACCTATCACAGAAGGAGGAATATAAACTAATAACCTGGTATGTATCTAAAAGGCAGGGTGATGCCATAATTTATAGTCCAAACTGAAACTTTCTCTTTGAAAGGGGCACCATTAATACCTATAACAGGGATAACAGACATGATCTGCGACCGTCCACATTTCCTAGGGTGGTCATCTTTTTAACAGGCAATGTAGCTCAACTCCTAATTTAAAGATGAATCAACTGAGGTATGAGGAGCAGGAGTTATCCACCCAAAATGGGCTAAAACTGAATTAGAATTCAGGTTTCCTGCCAACCTGTTCCATAGTCTTTTAACCTCATCATTTTGCTCCTACCAAAAGTTGAATGTAAGTTCAACTCTACCAAAAGGATTGTCAGAGTCACTCTGACTCCTTAATTAAAAGTATTAAAACCAAGACTGAACTTTTAAATTTCATCTGGAAGGATAAAGGTCTGTCTTTGAAGCTTTCAAGTAATGAAGAAGGAACTTCATGTGCTTAGATACTTCCAGAAACTGGCCTGTGTGGCCTTCCTGCCACCAAAGGCCTGTGAAATTAAACATAATGCTCCACAGCCACGCAGGCTTGAACTAAATACATGGATTCATTTAAAGTAAGAGGAAATACAGTCCATAGACACCTGATTCATAACCAGTTTAACTCTTCCTGCACAGCCAATGACAAATACATATGCACACCACGGAAGTCTCAAATATTTGGCAGTGTGTGTAGGAAGGCTTCAGAATACTATCTAAACATGGAAGGAACAGCACCATGATTTATCCCTTTTAAAAAAAAATTAGAAAGTGTGGGGCCGGCCCGGTGGCGCACTGTGCTAGTGCGCCGCTTGAGAGCGCGGCGGCGCTCCCGCCGAGGGTTCGGATCCCACATACAGACCGATTCCCGCTCACTGGCTGAGTGAGGCGCGGGGGCAACACCGAGGGTTGCGATCCCGTTGCCGGTCCCGGTCCGGTACGGGGGCAACACTGAGGGTTGCGATTCGTTGCCGGACACGGAAAAAAGACAAAAAAAAAAAAAAAGAAAGTGTGTAAATACTCCCCTTAGGTCCTGGCATGCTAAAGCAAATTATCTCAGCTCTGATTTCCCCTATGTAAGTAGCCCTAGTGTCCTAACATAGCCCAGATACTATTACAAGTTAGAGTGGGTTCTGGGAGACCTGGTAAACAGAGAGTTCTAAAGATTTTTATCCCGTAATAGATTATTCCATCCTGTAGTCTCCTAAAGTCTTCCAAATTTAAGATCTATTTAGTTGACCTATCATAGAAGGAGGAATATAAACTAATAAACTGGTATGTATCTAACTGGTATGTATCCCCTACCTTTTAGATACATACCCCTAGCTAGCTAGAATATAAAGGAGCAAGAAATACAATATTTTATAAGAGGCTGGAAAAAAATAAGACCCCATAATCTTTCCAAACAAGGAAGAATGATTTACTTCTAGGTTTAGGAAAGAAAGTGACAGAGAAGGTGCACTTAGATTAAACAACCTCCTCTAATATATACAAGGGCCCTGTATGTAGGAGAAGTATAGTCATCCTTATCAGTGGTCTTCTGTGGTGTCACCATTTAATCAGAACCATCAGTGTTAAGGAAGACCCAGAGGCAGAGCAGGGTTCAAAGGTGGGCAGCCATTGTACACGACCACGTGGGATCCCACACTCAGAAGGCCCTGCACTTGGTTTAATACTCATCTCTCACAGTCTTGAAATTATCAAGAATCTTTGAACAGAGTCCACATTTTTATTTTGCACTGGGTCTCACAAATTATGTAGCCAGTCCTGCCCACAGGTTTTTTGTGTTCTAAAAGATAAATTCAAAGCAAGTACTCTTTAAGTTACATGGGCAAATCCACATCCCAGCTCAGTTATATTGAACCTATCTGATTGACACCTTCAGCACTGGCCTCTGAATCCACGTGTACTTATTGTTCCACAGGTACTGGAAAAACAAACATTTGTCGCCCAAACGGCTGAGTACAGGTATTCTTATGTACACCCTTGCATCAGCAATATGTGAAGAGATCCACTTGTATGGATTTTGGCCTTTTGGATTTGACCCCAACACGAGGGAAGATCTTCCATACCATTACTATGACAAAAAAGGAACCAAATTTACCACCAAGTGGCAGGAGTCCCACCAGCTGCCTGCTGAGTTTCAGCTGCTGTACCGGATGCATGGGGAGGGGCTCACCAAGCTGACTTTGTCACACTGTGCCTAAGAACTCCCAACGGAAAGTGCCAAGTGGCATTTAAAAAGTGCCCCAAATCAAATTGAATAGTCTTTGGAATAGAACCCTAGAGAATGTCTTATGAGGCTTGTCTGCCATTTCTCCCTCTTTTGCACTGCTCTTTTAAGGGTCTTAGCAGATTTAGCAGGACAGATACGTTGAAGCCAGATAATTTAAACTTGATTGATAAAGGGAATGTTGCATTTGGAACTATGCTGCTAATGAAATGGTATGAAGTATTTTCATGTTTGTATTTTAATAATAAACTGCCTCCCATTTTTATGAGGACTAGAGCTATAGTTTCTACAGCTCTGCTCAGATATAGTCCTCATAATCAGAGCCCTCTGGACAATTGGGGCAGGATCTCAATTTTGCTGGTGGGATCAGACTTCAAAATGGAAACATAAAAAACTGGTTTGCATATCTCATATTTCTCTCTCTCTCTATCTATCTCATCTCTATCTCTATCTCTGTCTCTCTTTCTATCTCTTTATCTCTATTATCTCTCTCCCTCTCCCTGCAATCACTCCTTTGCCCCACCACTGTGGAGTTTAATAATTTGCTAGGAATCCTATTGAATTAGCTTTGATTGTATGTGTTGCATCTGTACTTGATGTGCTCAAGGCTCTGGGTAACTTTGTTTCATGACAAACTGAGAAAATCATGAAGGATCCCCTCATATTACTTTGATAAGAAATGCCTCTTATGAAGTCCTCATTAGTCCATATGGCCATGCTACAGCAGTGTGCTCCCTCTGTGGTGTGTGGCACCTAATGCAGTGCCTCCTTCACTGTCACAAAGAAAGTCGGAGTCGTGGGGGGCATTGCATCTCTTGACATGAGTGCAAATATGCTGTTATGGCAAATAATAGCACGGTTGCCACATCTGCAAGGGCATTCCAGCCTAGGTTTAGTGTGTCCCACAATCACAACCCAAGTACTGGGCTGGGCATTTTCTCAGAATATAGAAGCAATGAGTCAGTTTAAGATTCTGGGAGACAGAAAGGGAAAGGAAGAAGAATGTTTAGAAGTTGTTATGGAGTCCTATATACCCCTAAAGTGTTGTAACTATGTTGCCCATTCACAGCCTTTGAGAACCAGCAGGATTAGGGTGGAGGAGAAGCTTCGAGAGGTGAGGTCATTTTCAGGATCGTGTTCACCACCATCCATCCACAACTGTTTGTTCTCTTCAGGACAATTGTAGACACTAGATATTCCCTCTTTCTGATGAAATCAGATCTTTACACGTACAGATTAAACATTTCAAAGGGAAAAGCCATTGTGCACTGGCAAGATTTGGCACTAAATAGCCCTTGGAATTTGAGATTATGTAGCCCTGCCACGAAGGAATTAGTTGGCCGTTCTCATTCTCTTTTTCATTATTTCAGCCTCAGGAGTAGAAATCACATCACTCCCATTCCTGGCTTTTTACTGAGCAGCACTTTATTCTTCCAGTTCAGCCCAAAGTCTGGCCAAGTTGATGTTAAATTTTAATAAGACTTTCTTTCTTCTTTCCAAATGCCAGTCAAGCACATTTGTTATACACTTGAAGGGTAGCTCGTTCTTTTCCAGAAATCTCATCTAGATTGCTTACAGTGTTACAAATACTATTAAAAATCATTGCTGTAGTTCAGTAATCAGGTCACTGCCCCTCTTTGAGAAGGGCCTAAAATTAAACCAAATACAATAAGGAAAGACACAGTTCTTATGCTCATGTTTTGCCTGGTCCTAAAGCTGTCTTATTCTTTTCAGAAAACTAACTAATTAGAGCAGCTTACATAGATCCAGATATGAACTAGTGAAAGAAAAACCATTCAGGTTCAAACATGTAACCAAGTGTGATACGTCTTACAACGTCATGTGAATGACAATCCTCCAAATGGGAAAAAATAGGAATAGATGTTTTGAGATGGGAAACACTAAAACAGCTCTATACTTGAAACAATTATAAGGGGAAATAAGAAAAATATTTCTAAATTCAATGGTATAATTCGATGGGCGTCAAAACCATTCTGTTTGTTCCCTGTCATTTTAACGAGGGCAGTGCTATCGTTCTCACGCTGTGTTCCATTAGGATCACTGCAAGATTGATAACTGACAATCTTGTATTTAGTATTTAGTGGGCTGTTCCTAAGCACTTAGTTCATTTGGTTACAGCTAAGTGATATTAATGCCGATATTACATGGGCCCAAATTCTGACTCTGGAGTTTTAATCCCTATGTGCCCATTAGTTTTCACTAAATATAAATACATAGATACTTTGAACAGGCAAGTTAAAAGAGCAAAAGACCAGAATACCTAAAACCAGTTAACTGTTCCATGGTAGACTATTTAAATTTGATCTCATCATAATGCCAAAGTTTTTTGTTTTCTAAATTCAGAGGGATTTTTAAAATCTCAGTGCACTCCTGGCTTCATCTTAATTTTAGAGTAGGAGGACTTTCTCATCCCTTACCATCATTTCATCTATTATTTTAACAAAAATTCAAAACAATGAAATGGACTTATCTCCAGAACTAGAAGGGCCTAAAGATCAGGCTCAGCCCTATTTCTAGGCAGGATTTCCTGGAGATAATCCCCAAAGACCACTCTTTCCTTTGTAAGAAAAGCAGCTTCTAGCTGATCACATAAAAATCTCTCTTTGTTTTTAACAACTGTTTCAAAGATTAACCTATATATCCACTTTCACAACCAAAAGAGTTGATGGGTCCCATGTGTCCTCTTTAGAAAGGCAACATTATAAGCAACCAGAATGTGCTGGCTCTCCTACAGCTCCCAGGCTTGGATAATCAAGGGCAGTGAACTGGGCAGACTGGGCCAATGGGTTCTCCCTCCTGGTTCAGCTACAGATACATATCCCTGGCTTTGGAATTGACCTCATTTGTTGGTTCTAGACTGAGTACATCCTTTTGTCAGAACCTTTCTTTGTTTTTAGGATACTCACAGCAGAGTCCACCTTTAGCTATGAGAGTAAAATTCACCACAAAGCCCCCAAGGCTGTCTGTACATGACACCAACACAAATGACCAATTAAGTCACAGAGGGGGGAAACAAAACCACAAACATGGATGGCAATCTGACGTTAGAACCTCAGTACTCATCGGTGATTCTGTGTGTCATGTGCAGACATGTAGATCCAGGGGAGATTGGGTTAAAAGGGGGTATCAAGAATTTCTCCTGCACCCAAAAAAATCTTTCCCATATTTGATAATTAAAACATCTGTGGTTCCTCCACCTTTGTGTCGGTGTCTTAAGTGTCCTTGACTATTGTAAAAGTGCTGTGTGTTGAGTAGTGTTGTGTGCCTAGCAGTGCTGACTGTGACTGCTGTGCCATCTTTCTGTGACCTTGATGTGAGGCACATGACCATGGGGCTACCAGCAAGGATGTGCAAAGGTAGAGTCCCCTCCCCATCCCCCTAGTGCCCAGGCCCACCAGTTGTCCACAAATGTGAATGCCAAGACAAACCTAATTTGGAGGGGAAGCTGGGGAACGGAAGAAAATTTCTTCTGACTTTAGGCTAGGCACTAATTATTAGACATTCTTAGATAACAAAGTGATGTTGACCTCAGGCCAAAGGAATCAAGGGCAACATTGCGGAATGCTAGGACACTGGAAATGGAAGAGGCTTTGAGCTTCTCCAGTCCTAATTCTTGACTTTACGAATGAGGAAGTGGAGAAGCAGAGAAGCTAAGTGATTTCCCTAAGATCACATGGATAACTAGTGGAGAAATTATGACTCCTTATCTAGTACTTTTTGGCTTTAGCTGCATCACATGAAAATAGACTCAAAGGGAAAGTGATTTTGATCTGGAATCCACAGGGCACATAAAATAAGTTAGAAAAGCTGTAAAGGAGGAAAAAGGATTCTCACCCTCCAAAAAATTATTTCTCAATGTAAAACAACAAAGGAGATTCTTACCTCGGTATAAAACAGCCCCCTGGTAATCACTTCTATTCTCCACTGAAATGCCTGGGAAATCACGGTTTGGTAAATCACAATTCTGTTACTGATGGTTCATAGCTGACAGCTGGAATCTTAACCAATGATCTATTCAGCTTAAAATCTTGTTTTATGTAATATATATGAATAATTTAGCAGTTGAAACCTGAAAATGGTTATGTATTTCTCCGTATGTATAATTTTCAGCAGGGCTCCCTTGAGTTAAGAAATTCCTTCCATATGATAAGTCACTTCAACTTTGAATTATTGCATTTAGTTCAATATGCTAAAAAGATGTACAAATAGTAATGAATAACTTTGGTGGGTTTTCATGTGCAAAATAACAGACTGAGCAATATTCTGTATAATTCTGGATCCTCAAATTTTCTTTCCCATAATTGTTTGAATGCACTAGGCAAAAGTTTCTGTTTAAGCCTCTAGTTCTCCCTGAATGTGTAGAACCGTCCTTTTGCTTACAGAGAGTTGGAGCTGTGGGTAAGCGGCCGAAGAGCCCAGGTGGGACATCACAGGTGCTGGGATTTAGGGCACCTTGGCCAACCGATTGACCTGTCTGGACTCTGTGGCCCAAACAAGCAAAGCCACAGATGAGTTGATACCAAGGACCAAAGCCACTAATTATGCCTTGCTCACACTGATTGCTTTGCTACATAGATACAATATTTGAATGTCATTATTGTATTATGCAGTATTTCTGAAAATTTATTTTTATTGTGATGACTTATTACTGAAGACATATGTGTTTGAATAGATGTTTTTACCCTCAGTGAAGCTCATTCTTTTGTTGTTGATTAGAGTGGAATCACGGTAGAGAGCTCGTTGCAGAATAACTGATTCCAGTTTAAGATTACAGTAGGGTTCTGGGGCTAGGACATGGGTTATGCTGCTGTTCCACCAGCAAACATAGCTATGTGAAATGAGGAACTCTTCAAAATACAATCCTTGCTCCTCACTCCAGAGCTTTGACTTACAATGTCCTGGGATAAGTCCAACTTACGAAGATTCCCAACTGATTCTGATATGGCCAGCATTTGGAAACCAGTTATATATATAGCACAGTCATAGATACCATTTTGGCCAAAGTAGCTGAAAGCTTTTCACTTCTTGTGCAATTAGTATCAGGTGTTTCTTGAAGTTATCATTATACATGGCAATGTAGACACAGTTAGTGATTCAACCATTCAACTGCTTTGGCTAAATTGACCTAGTCCCTAATTTGCAAGTGAAGAATAACTTGTCAATTTAGCCAGAATGAATGCAATCCTGAAGAAAAAGTGGGGAGCACAGCTTTAATCTACTTTATCCCAAGACCAGCTCTTTATATTTCACTCTTTATAATTCAAACTGAGAGGCATATCTTAGGTCATTAATCTTTATAAATGGATAGATTGAGAAACAGGAAGTTAAATGATTCATTCAGATTCAATTTAGAAATCACAGCCAGAGCCTAAAATATTCCTCAAGGGGTCTGATTTCTCAGCCTCTAGGTAATGCCCAAAATGAAACCAATCGAAAAAGGAAATTCAAGGCATTAAAATTCTAAGACAAATCCAGTAGAAGAGAAGTGGTCAGTTATTACTAGCTGCCATGTACTGGCCTCTGTTGGATAAGGTGCCAACATCCTACTAAAGTTTTGGCCAGGTTTCTTTCTACAGCTGTGCACATGCAAAACCTTTAATCACCAGTTCAAGGCATTAAAATTCTAAGACAAATCCAGTAGAAGAGAAGTGGTCAGTTATTACTAGCTGCCATGTACTGGCCTCTGTTGGATAAGGTGCCAACATCCTACTAAAGTTTTGGCCAGGTTTCTTTCTACAGCTGTGCACATGCAAAAACTTACTAAATGGCTTCTTTGATTTCCCTTCTGTGTGATTCAGAGACAGTTTTAACTTTTTGGTGTGCTGCTAAATGTTTAACAACTGGCTCTGGAGAAGAGTGGAACCCTCATTTGTAGCACTTAACCATTTACATTGTGTAGATACTCTCATCATAGCCGATTTCAAGCTACTAACTTAATGTCAACCAGTTGAAAAGGTAGCAATTTGTTTTCAAGAGTCAGTATAAATTAGCTCTAGCACAGCACTACCCAAACAATTTGAGTCTGTGAATACCTGAGAAGTTAGCAGTAGCTTTGGAGGGACTCCCAAATGCCCCCCATTTCCATCATGGTCAGTTGCTTTCCTGATTTCTACGGGTGACCTTTCAGGTAAACATTTTTTAAGTGCCATGTTTGGCTGAATTTTTTTTTTTCATATCCTATATTGTATTGCCATGTTCCCCGATTCTATAGTTTTCACTGTTCACTGTCTACTTGCTCCTCATCCTTCTGACACAGCACAAAATTCACAGGCATCTGTAAAATAGTGCCTGCAAAGGAGCAGGGGAAGAACAAGACACCCGCTAGACTTACCTGTCTCCACACACCTGAAGAGGCTCTGTGGTTCAAGGTCTGTACCCTACCAGGGGACACCCAGCTAAGCTTCATCCCCAGAGCTTGCATATGCACTCAGCTGGACTTGATTGCCCTGAGAAAAATTTCTAATGGTCAAGAAACATCACCAAATAGGAACATCTTTGGGCAACTCCCGCAGCTGACTGGGCAAACTTTTAAAGCAAGGTGTCATGACATGCTTTGCACTCAGCTAAGCTAGCATAAGGCTGGACCCTGAAGAAAAAAATTTACGAACAAACATTTGGCCACTGCAGTTCTCTGACACTGGGCAGTACAGCAGCTGCCCTTCATGATCACTAGTTGTGAGTGCACTCCCTACTGAGTGCTTAAAAATCAAATACACTGGGAGTCCACAGAACAAGCTTTGTTTGCAAATTGAAAGTTTTTCTGGTGGGAGTCATTCTTAGGTGTGTTTAAATCCTTTGGAGAGTAATGCTGGAAAAAATGTATGTACTTCATTCCAGGGACACAATGAATGGCCATAGGTTTTATTCTGCATGTAGTAAATAAAATTAGATCATGAAGGACAAAATCTACTTTCCTTGCTGTAGTAAAACATCCTACAGGTTCTGCAAGGCATTTCTAGACTGTAAATGTTTGAAACTCAAGTTGAACATTTTCCATATTATGTTTAAAAGGCCAGGATATACCTCTGCTTTCTGTTCTTAACAGTCATCAAAATGAGCTTCTTTCTCTATACTGAGCAAGCTACACTTGGTTTTTAATGAGTCAGGTACACGTTCAGATGTTTTTCTGTATTCTCAACAAATTGCACATAGCCTGGCACAAAGTAAGCCTTCATCTTCTGGCTGTTTTCCTGACACCAAAGAGATTAAGTCCAAAGCTACAAGCACAAGGGATTTGACAGGTAGACCTCCTTTTTATTATGACCAAATTCACGGCAAAACCAGCTACTCCCTTAACATTTTTGGCTAGGAAGGTGGGGAAGAAAAATTGATCGACAATGGGAGAGAATTTTGGTCAGCATATATAGGTGGAATAAAGTCAATGAAGCGCTTGCAAAAAGGAGGGGGAAATCTGGAATCTAGACCATTTTGCAAGACTTAGAATAACTGGACTCCTTATTAGAAATGCTTTCTAATTACATTTTAAGATCCAGATCTGAGTCTATACTACGCAGAAAAACAGCCTTACAGCCAAGAGCCCTGGAAAGGGTTTATTGATGGGCTGAGATCTAATCATGAAGCATTAGTAATTAGCAATGAAATTCTATCGGGACACAGAACAAATGTATTGAAACATCGCAGTGCAGTATTGTTCATTCACATGGGATAGTCGCCTGAGTCCATAGCAGAACTTCACAGATCTAGACATTGTCTTAGGTCTACATTGCAGATCAACATCCTCAATGTGGAGATGAGACAACTGAGGTTCAGAAAGTCAGAAGTTGGCTCAGCTAGCCAACTGGAATTAAAGTCTGGGTCTCCCAATCACTGATTCTACTACACCACACTATGCAGCCTCCATTCTTTAGATGGGGAGTTGACAATCCACTGTAAAAGCATCAATTAGAAGAGGATACAAAAGAACATTTGTGATACCTCTCTCACTTAGCCTACTTTGGTTTCACCACTTCATTTTAGAATAATTTTAAAGCTTATTATAGCAGTGTAGAATGAGGAACAAAGCTCTTTATAGAGTAATAATGAAACCAAAAGGTCAAAAGGCAGGAGAACAGTGGATGTAAGTTATTAAATGAGCAAGAAGCATGGGAAAATATGTGCTTCTTGTATGGTTATTACCATGGAGACCTCCCCCCCCACACACACACAGCCTTGGTGCATTTATTTTGGAAAATGCCATTTTATGCTGAGAGACTGGTGGAAGACTTCACCCCTTCCCAGCTACATCAGAACTTCTCTTACTCTTTGGAAGAAGCCACAGTCCTTACAAATCGGACTCACCTCTCTTGGGAGAGACAGCCTCACCTGCCCTCAGAAACGAGCTGCTAGACTATGAGGGCCACAGAGACCTGAAGGAAGCTGGCACTGCTGGACTGAGGACCATGTAAATATCTTCTGCCTTCCCGGCAACCAAGGACAATCACTTTCATAGAGGTAATTGCGTGTATATTGTGACTATAGTTTGTGAAGAAAACGCTATGGTTTGCTTCGACAGCTCCCCAAATGCACCTGTGATGTGTGAATGTGCCTGCCTCATTGCCTCATGTGCCAAACACAGTACTGAATGCATTGTTTTTAAATAAACTGTTTTGATGTGCATTGGAAAACACTGCTGGTTGTCTCTGTCCCATTTGGAAGACCCCACACATGCATGCACAAACACACACTCACACTTCATCCAGTGAAGACACTGAGTGTGTCCTTTTTTATTTTTCATTCTTAGTGTTTTGAAGTCTTCTCTTTGGAGATTTGTAGGACTCCAGAAAGGTTGGGCATGGCTATCTTACATCCATGAACTAGCAGCAAATACCAAAAGCATCCCCATGCACGATTTTTCCGTAGGTCTTTTAAATGCAAATCTTTCAACAGGCCTTAACATTATTAATAATAATGCACTACTCTTGAATGTTACGACCACATACATCATTTTATTTAATCAGTAATTGGATGAAGGACAAATGCTGCTGGACTTGGTTCGTGCTGCACGGTTAGTGATGAGTCAAAATGAGAACTAAGCCTGGCTCTCAGTCCAGAGCTCCTTCCTCTGCAGCTCCACCCATTCCAGTCTCTCATAGGTCACCCCCTCAAAGAGCCTTCCCTGACTGCTGCTATCAGCCTGTAACCCCTTAACCTATGCTATTTTTCTCCACAGTATTTTCTTTTGTCACTTGAAATGACACTATTAATTTGTTCACTCATTGTTTATCTGTGTCTCCCATAATATTATAAGTTCCACCATCTACAAAGTGAGTAACTTTTGCCTGTCTTATTCACACTATGCCCCCCAATGCCTCGAACAATGTTGGGAGCTTAGCAAGCTTTCAGTTAATATTTCTAGGATGGATGGATGGATGGACAGATGGTTGAACAGATGCACCACAGAGTCTGTGTATCTCTTCAACTCTTTTTCATTATCTCCTCGTTTTTTGTGCCTATAGCACAGACACAAAAAGTCTTGGCTCGTCTCTGACCATGCTGCCTCAGCACTATGAACAATACTAAAAAAGCATTTGTTGACTGAATGTATGAATGAAGTCATAGGAATTATTTTTCTCGATAAACATGCTCCAACGTCAAAAATGTTCCAGCATATTAATGCACCCAAACACATCCTTTTCTTGTCCCTGGCTGATTACAAAGGAAGCAACTCGAGTAGGGTGAAACTACAAG